AAATGTACAGAGGTCTCATCTATGCTATTCACTGAAATTTCTTCCATTTCACTTTTTTTTCCCTCTTCACAAGACTTTACTTTGCAGGTTTCAGTAATCTGAGAAAACAGAAGAAACTAGCAACATGCCCCCCCCCCGTCCACCATCCAACCTGAGGCCTGGGATTGAAACTGTTTTGTTTAAAATGTATATTGTGTCAGATCTTGCAGTAGTTTTAGTTCACCCAAAGAAGGTCTTGGGCCCGATCATGCTCGAAGTGCTTACCCTGTAAAGCTTTTCGTGTAACGTTAGTCGTTAGTGTAGTAGGGTTGTATTTCACAGCAATTTAATTAGTCGCTGTCATATATTCTTTGGGATTCTGCATTGCAGGACTGCTAGGCTGCGTTCATACTTTGTCTCAGCGTTTCGAGCAAACGGGCACGCTTCAATGCGCCAACGCACGGCAGCATTTCGAGCGACTAGAAATATACAGATGTCGATCCAGCGTTTGAGCGTACGGCAGCGTTTTGGAAGTTTCGCAGGTAGTTCTTTCGCTGCAGTAACTGAGAACGTTGGCGTACTTAGAACTCTGAGTCGGTATCTATCTTCGCTTGGTCGCTTAAAACGGTGCCGTGAGTTTGCGCACGCCAGATCGATGCCTACACTTCACTTATTGCTCGGGACGGTGCCGTACGCTCAAAGCGCTGACGCTTACAAGGGAGGTCTTTCAGGTCGTGGCGCGCTTTTTGGAAATGGTTTGTTGCTTGTTGTAGGGGTCCATACGAGGATGCAAGAGCATTCTTGCGCTGAAATCGTTGTCAACCCGCACGCAGGGGCTGTTAAGCGCCATGCTGGCGTCAAATGGCCTCGGCGCATAAAATAAGTGTCAGAATCGTGAGCGGGGCTACCAATTACTCCTGTATACGAACTTCCAGCAAAAAAAATTTCGGAGGTTTTGGTGATAATGGACCGACCACTTGGTTGGCAGTGGCACCCGATCAGCGCACCCAGCGTAACTGGTTCCACTTTAACTTTCCAGGGTAGATATTGTGCAATACATATACATGTCCCTTTTTAAAATTTGTAGTTGTTAGTTATGAGGGTATATACTAGTAAATAGAAAGGTCCAGGTATCGAAGTTGGATAACTACTTGTACAGGATACTGATAGCCACCAGTTCAACAAGACCAACCATCATAGCTCGAACAGCTCGAGGAGAAAAATTTCGCTGAAAGTCTGTATATAGAGGTTATTAACGGCCCTGATCACGGTTCTGACCTTTACTTGGCGCCTAGGTCATTTGGCGCCAACATGGCTCTGAATACCCCCCCCCCTAACTGCGGGTTGGGATGCTGCGAGAATCACTTGAGAAACTACAATGCTGCCTCACTGTGTGCCAAATAAAGTACTTTTTCACCTTGACTTGTATTGTTTTCGATGCAGTGTCGACGAAGGTCTCATTTGCTATGCATACTCGACATTAGAAATAGAAAAGAGCCTAGAAAAATGGTTCAAAATCGCTTTTCCTCAGCAAACTTTTCACCCATTTTTGACCTTCCCAGAAATGCATAGCAAAAACGAAACCCATTTTTGTGATCCTTATATGGACCCCTACAACATGCAACAAACCATTTCTGAAAAGCGCGCCACAACCTGAAAGACCTCCCTTGTTAGTGTGACCGCAGCCTTGTAGTTCCGAATGGTCGGAAGGAGGCATCATTTTTCGATGAGTCATTTCAGAGTGCCGAGACTAACCCTGAATCGTTAGTGAAGAACAGCGACCTTCTATTGAAATGGTGTACGCTGAGATTTTATGAAACGAATCCTTCCGTTCTAATCAAGGTCGGTGTATTGTCGAACTATGCTGCTTTAGACGTAGAAAACTTGTAAAAGGTGGTGCTTAAGGTCCTAGAATTTGCGAAGCAAGTGCTGGTCCTTGTGAAGGCGTTCGATGAACCAATGTCTACTGAAGAAATGAATGCGTTTGTGCCTCATTTGCTTCTCAAGTCTGGTGAACAAAAGGAATCTATGCGGAACGCTGTTCGTGAAATAATAGACGAAGTCACCGACATTTGCGGTCCTTTCAAGATGTGTCCGGTTCTTCTCGGTATGATTGCACCCGCTGCAATAGATGTTCCAAGGAAACATATACTCTAGTTCTCTGCGGACGGTTGGGCGTGTCAGCCAGTATGAGTGTGTCACCCTATCAGAGCCGTTCTCTGCCTTCTTGTTGAAGAGCGCATGCGACAAAAAGTGGTAGAAAACGAGTAATACGAAGCATATGATACAGTATTGTCACTTGCCCGCTTCAACAACTGGTGTAGAACGAGTTTGGCACCGCGCCAAACGCAGCCGCACTGACACGCCCAACCGTCCGCAGCGAACTACACTATAATTGATTTAGCATATTAATGATTATAGAGGCTTTGAAGACGAAGAACGCCCGTCAACGAGCAGAATGTCTGCAGGTTCTTGAGCAATATATTGCTCGTGCTGGCCTTACACAACTCAAAACTCTGGTTCGTCGTAAAGCGCTGATATTTCATTTTTTGTCATAGTAGCCACTTTTTCTATCTTAGAAATCGTTCAGTTTACACCACCTGGAGCGTAGCGGAGTGGTGCCCTTATAGCATCTGCTGTGCTGGTTTTTCTCATGCCTTTTTTCCAGGGGATACACAAGGCAATTGCGGCATGCGTGAGCGATCGCGATAACAACGTAAGAAACGCTGCAATAAACGGGTTAGTGGCGTGCTATCGCGAAGAAGGCGACCAGGTTCCGTTTTTCATCCGATTTTGCTATGTGTTCATCGAATTGAACGCTTTCGTCTTTTGCAAACTTATCGTTCAGATGTGGCGAAACGTGGGCAAAATGGCTGATAAAGAGCGTGCTATGGTCGAAGAGCGTATCAAGCGATCAGGAGCTGCTCCAGGAAGCGCAGCACCTCGACCAGGGGGTGGCGGTCCTGTTAGGGTCGGCGGTGCAAAAATAGTAGTGCCTGCAGGATGTCAGTTTTTTTTATTGTTTTTTTTTATTCATACTAACAGAATAATCCATTCGGTGACTAGTGAGTTGAGTGTTGTAAGATAACGCTTCAAAAAACACAAAATGAGCTTGGCAGCGCAAGTCCCCCGAATGGTCAGTTCAACATCACCCCGGAGGGGTATATTTCACCATGGAGCCGTTTACATAGCACCAGCCGGATGGTATATTTTCCACAGACTGATCATTCACATTAAAAGAAATCGTTGGCATCATCCTAATGCGGTCCGCGGCTTAAACCCAGTCAAGGTGGATGACCTTACCGGGAAACTTGACATACTGGCAGTTGGGAGCACTGGAGAGGTCTGTATGATTCGGAGAAGTCAGCTCTCCGCTGTTATGTTGTCCTGGCCTGGCTACCCTGTTTGGTGTGCTGTATTTTGCGAAGACCACAAGCCTTCGCTTACGGCTATTTTCTATTCGGAAATGTGGGAAAAAAAGTGAGAGAAATAGAGTAACTTTCCTGGAACCCGAACCCCTTAAGTGCAGCTGCAACTTTCCAGTACAGCGAAAAAGTTATATGTCTCGCTCAGCGATCATTGCTGCGAGCGAAATTCTTAAAGTTGGGCGACATTTTTTACGCGTGTGCACTTTGTCGTAGCTATGCATTGCGAAATCTATCCTGCCCTCGTATCGATCTCGAGAAAAAAAAGCCTGAATTTCGCTATTTCAGCCGGTTCTGCGGTTCGTCGTCCACATAGCCGCAGCGCCTCAGCTAGACGTGACAATTCGCAAGGTACCAGAGAGAACAGCCCTGAAGGCGAGAGAGCTGGTAGTTCTGTTTTTTTTTACCTCCTCATTGCTTATTACCATCTCTTTCTCTTTGTAGAATTGAACGGTACATTTACACACGGCGAAGAAGGAAGTCTCAATCCGACTTATGGTCCTCGTTACACTATCGACGATGACGTTAGTTGTATTTGTATTGTATTTGTATTCCTATTCTTGAGTTCCGTTTCATTTGCGCATCGTTTTCGTTGCAGTATGTGGAGCAAGGCCCCACAAATTTGGACACAACCCACGTCCTAGATGAAATGGATAAAATTCTTTACCGTGCCCCAGTACGAACTCCTGTTGTCTCTCAATTTCCAACTACTCCTTTGAGGTGAGTCTTAAAGTTTGTTCTGATAAATTCTAGCTTTTTATGCGAGTGAAGTTCTGCTTCAATATCTGCCATGCTTGTTGCCGTTGCAAATGCATTTTTCGTTTATTTGGTTTTTTTTCTTCCGATAATGGGGCAGAAGGCGCAAACGAAGCATCCCTTGTTATTGTCAAACATTGTACAGTCCTTCATTATGTAACCTTTTGATAATGCGTCGACATAATTTTGCTTGCTCTGTATCGTTCGCGTATGTGTCCACAAAGCACGAGAATTTTCACATGCCCTGGTTATACTTAAGCACCTGGTATGTCCCTTCTCCACATGTTCGGCAATGGGAATTTGCAAACACTAAATACAATGTATTGAATGATCCAGCAGTAACGAAAAAAAGCATAAAGAGTTTGTCGAAAATGCTCCATATAGAATCCCATGCTTCATTGCCCTTGTACTCGCGTAAGGCGAAGAAAGGACGTGGTCGGACAAGTTCTCACTTGGAGGTGCCACCGCTTTCTCATTTTCACCTCACACTTAGGATTCCAACTGGAGAGAGAGTAGCGAAACAGGCGCACTACAAGAAAGGTTCTATTAGGTTGTCCGGAAAGTTCTCAGCGTTTTGGGTGTTTCACTTTAAACGATCGTAACTTTTTTAATACTCATCGGATTTAATCGAAATAGGCACCATTCGAATCAGCACACTTTTGCCAATGTGACAGCAGTCGAGAAATCCCATCAAAGTAAAAAACTGGGTGGTCGAAAATTCACGAAATCCACTAAGGCTTTTTTGCCTGGTCCTGATTGATGAAGTATTTTCCAGCAAGGGAGTTCTGAAAATGTTAGAAAAGGTGATAGTCGGTTGGCGAAAGGTCTGAAGAATATGGCGGTTGAGGTAGAACTTCAACCCCCAATTCGTTCAATTTATGGATAGTGATTTGTGAAACGTGTGGGCGGGCGTTGTCATGCAAAAGGAATCGGACCCTTTCTT